TAGAATCCACTACAGAAATATGGCAAACCCTTCAATGTCCGCTAAAATCCACAAATTACTAAAGTGTCATTCAATAATGAAATGAACTCAATCATATCTCCATGAAAGAGCAACCCATGTCCCAATACCTTCTGGTTATTAAATCCTTAGTTGATACATTGCAACCATCGGAAGTCACATTGATCGTGAGGGTATTATCCTCCACATCCTAAATAAAATACCTCCATCATATCAGTCATTCAAAATATCCATTAGAACTAAGCCAGAACTCATCAAGATGGATGATCTGTACTCATTACTATCCAGTGAAGAAATCAATATATCACCTAAACAGGCTAACGAGAACAATGCCACAGCTTTTGCCCTATATACTTAAGGAGTTAGCATCCGCAAAAGGAGCAGAGGCAAATCCTCCCATCACACCTGCAACAACAACAGCAATCGCCCATCTATCCCTTTCAACCAAAGTTGCAGAGGCTCCTAGTACAATAACCTTCACCCCACCTGTCAGATCTGTGGCAAGCCAAGACATAAAACCATAACTTGCTGGCAACGAACCAATTTTAGCTCTTATCCTTTTGTCAAACCGAACAGAACACTCATAACCTCTATTGATCCAAGCTCAGACGACTGGGCCTTAGAATCCCTTGCCACCACTCATTTCACCTCCAACTATGATCACCTACAACATCCCAAACAATTACAAGGCTCAGATTTAGTCACCACAGGCGATGAATCATTTATTCCAATCACTCACACCGATCAGGGTATTCTCCCAACCCATCAACATAAGCTCTATCTCCATAAACTCGTTCACTCTCCATAGCTGTCTCAAGCCTCCTCTCATTTCATCAACTAACTTTCGACAACAATTATGACATCTCATTTACTAAATTTGGCTTTGCCATCAAGGACCAAAGAACAAAACCAAATCCTCCTTAGAGGACCTAGCAAGGATGGCCCCAATATCAACTTTGTGTCGCAAACCACTCATCGTTTCCATATGCAAAACTCTGACATCGAAGGTCACCATGCCATCACAACTATCATATATAGAGCAACAAACACTAAAATTAGACAAACTTTTTTTAGTTTTCTTACATGAATGTAACTCTTCTTAGAATCATCGTCAGTCCTTTCATATCATTATTTCTGAACATAAATACTATTTTGATCTTGTACATACAGACATTTGGGGTCCAACCCCCACCACTTCAATAAAGTACTATAAATATTACCTTCTACTTATTAATAATTGTGTTCACTTTACTTGGGGTTTTTCTATGTTCAAAAAATTTGAAACTACAAACAAATTCATCTATTTTCACAAAAGGATACAAAATCAATTCAACACAAACATTAAAGTTTTACACTCTGATGACAGAGGAGAATATAGATCCAATATCCTAAATAAATACCTCACCTCTCATGGCATTCTCCACCAATTTATCTACTTGTATACCCTTAACAAAATGGAGTGGATAAGCGCAAGCACAGACATCTAATTGAAACCACAAAAACCCTACTGCTCACCGCTCATCTACCTCCTAAATTTTGGACAAAATCTGTAATGACCACTCCATACCCCATAAATTGATTGCCATCAAAAACCACAAACCTTAAATCTCCCTATGAAATCCTCTACTCCAAACCTCCCACCTATGGTCATCTTTGAACCTTTGAATGTCTCCGCTTTTCATGGCAAAGACCGCAAGCTCCACATAAACTACCACCCTTAGCCCAGCTTGTATCATCATTGCATATTTATCATCACACAAAAGATACAATTGCTATAACACACAAACACACATATTTTCATCTCTCAACACGTGGTTTTTAACAAATCTATCTTTCCATACACCCCTTAATCTATACCACAAATGCCTTCCATCACATATCTAAATCCCAGTCTCCTTCTCTCAACAAATCTACCACAATCATCCACCTCTCTGCCTCCCTTACTACCTTCTACAAACCAATCTCCTCCATCTTACACCACACCCGCAACCACTAATCAAGAAACTTCTTTCCTTCCATACCCACACACACTTACCAAGCCGCGCTCATATTCCACCTAAAAAACACCCCATGACAATAATATCTCAAACTAAGTCACTCAAACCAAAAATCCTCATCAACCTATACACTTTCCTTACCTAATATCATGACCCCACATGATATACACAAATCACAAACATCTACATTGGCAACAAGCCATGTCTTCAAAATTCAAAACACTACAAAGCAAGAAACATAGTTTTTTGTTTAGCCACCATGTCAACAAAACTTTATCGACCACAAATGGACCTACAGTATCAAACATAATCCCGACAAAATAGTGGCAAAATAAAAGGCACGACTAGTCGAGCAAGGCTTTAAGCAATTGTCAGGAACTCAATATAAGGAAACATTTAGCCCTATAGCTAAAGTACCTACAATTTGGATCCTCCCATCAATTGCTCACCAACGCAAGAGGCCAATTCAGCAACTGGATGCCTCCAACACCTTTCCCTATGGCTTGCTGGATGAAACTATCTACATGCACCGACCTCAAGGATTCCAAGACAACCAACATTCAACCAATGTATTCTTACTCAAAAAGACTTCATATGGCCTCGAACACGCACCAATACAATAATATCACACTCTCACTCACCATCTCAAAATCAAAAAGTTTTAAAGTAACACCGCTGACCCCTCTCTCCTCATATATCATCATAACCAACTCACCATTTATTTTTCTCATGTACATTGATGACTTCCTCATCACAGGATATGATCCACAAGCCACTTCTAACCTCACATATACTCTCAAATCGGAATTCCAACTCAAGGAATGGGGGTCGATTAACACTTTCCTTAGCATCAACATCAATCACACTCCACATGAATATCACCTTACACAATCCTCATACAATCATTCCCTCCTATAACAACTTGGACTATCCATTTGCAAACCAATATCCATTGAACTTCCCCACAAGCTAAATTTTGACCAAACCTCCCTCCAAGAGTTTCCTGATGTTACTCAATATAGACAGCTAGCCAGCTCTCTCTAGCGTCTTAGTATCACAAGATCAGACATAGCCTTTGTTTTCAAATATATCTACTAGAATATGCATACCCCCTGCTTCATCATTTTTAGCTTATCAAATGTCTCTTAAAGTATCTTGAAAGAACCATCTCCTATGGCCTTCCAATCACAAACAACAGTCTACAACTTCAAACCTACTCAAACTTCGATTGGGTAGGCAACTCACATAACAGACAATCGACCACTGAATTTTGCACCTTTCTAGGCAACTACCTCATATCATGGACAATTCAAAAGCAAAAAATGATGGCTCGCTCCACCATAGAAGCTCAGTATCACGCACTAGCAGCCACCACAACTGATGTTATTTGGATTTGATGACTACTCCAAGAATTCAATATTTATATAATCAGTCCAACACAAATTCACTTCGAAAACATAATAGCAATTACCATACCCCTTAATCCCACCTTCCACACCCGCATGAAACATATTGCAATAGACTATCACTTCATCCGTGATTACATACAATCGATTGACATTAAGATACTACACATCAACTTAACAGATCAAGTATCTGATATCTTCACAAAGATTCACACCACACCCCAATCCCCAGTTTCACAACCTTCAGCATAAGCTTATAGTCACTTTACTGAATTAAAAAGCTCAAGGGGGGAATAATCCTCTCAAAAAATATCTCTACAACATTTATATAATACTATAACTGCAACAACAAGATTTGGCTTATTACCTTTACTCTATTTACCCTTTACTCGAGCAATGAAACCACAACTCTATCAAAAATGATGAAAAATTTACATTCATATCGCAAAATTCTTATTTTTTTCACAGCTTATACCATATTTACACTTATAATACTTTGATAACAACTTATGTATGTTGTGAAAAAACGACGGAAGTGAAAAATATGGAATTAGAAAATCTCAAAACATAAGGGACACACAAATTTACGTGGTTCGGCAAATTACCTACATATACGGAGTTACAGAGGATTTTATTACCTATAGGAATTACACCGTTGATTGGTTCGACGTTATAAGAAACAATTCTATCTCTCTTCCTCTCTCTCTCCTCACATTCTCTCTCTATCTCTTCACCCGTGAGCCAGAGGAGATGACAACCAGGCAAGAGAGCCCTCGCGGTTGATCTTGTTCCTCATCCGTAAACAAACGGACCTGTAAGACCGCACGCCTAAGTAACCCAACGGGAGAGAAAAAGCTTGCAGTAACTCACCATTGATTTAATTCCAGCCGAGCCTTCACGTTTAAATCGCCGAAAAAAACCGCAGGGGGAGGAGAGAGCTCTTGCGATGGAAAGAATAGGCGGTACTTAGCAGGACAGTTATTAAGGAGTAATTAAAATATCCAGTAACTGCCGTGAAGAGAAATTTGCCAATATAAACAGTAGACCGGGCTCCACCGATCTAAACAATGCATGAAAAAATATATTTTATTTTTTAAATAATAATAATAATAATAATAATAATAATAATAATAATAATAATAATAATAATAATAATAATAATAATAATAATAATAATAATAATAATAATAATAATAATAATAATAATAATAATAATAATAATATTTTTCATGTTATATAAAAAAATTATTTGCTGTTCATGTAAATATAAGTATTTAAATGATAAATATATAAATAAATAAAATTTGGGTGCTATGTATTTGTGAATATAAAATATCATATGAAAAATTAACTTTTTAATTTCAACATTACATGAGAGTTTGTAGCGTTTAATCGTTTTTATTTTTAAAACTTCACATTCATATCTAACACCTAAAATTTAACATCTACATTTATAATATTTTGATGTCATATGCTATACACGAAAAAATATATTTAACTTTCAAAAAAATAAATTATAATATATATATATATATATATATATATATAATATACTGCCTCCCATAACATAAAATAATAATAATACATAATAGAAAACATTTCCTTAATTAAAAATAAAGTTCCAAACCCAACAGCAACACTGAAATACATAAAAAGATAATCCCATCAAACTATCTACAAACTAAGCAAACAATCTGCACTCCAGTAATAACTTTCTGCTATTTACAAGCATGAACTAATTAATACTAATGTGGAGATAACAACCATCACCTGTTGATAATTTAGGCAGCAATAATCTAATTAGCCTGAAAACTGTTGGCGCCTGGAATATCAACCCACTGCAACCGCAGCTCAATTTCACCACATTCAACATTTCTGAGCCTGAGAACAATGTCCTGAACAACCTTCCCATTCAACAAATAGATAGAGCTCTCCTCAGCAAGGCAATTCTCCCTGTTGGACGCCTGCTTTCTCAACACTGTGCCATCAGGAACACCTTTTAGATCCATCTTCGCAGACTCGAAAAATGGTCGAATGTCGAATTCCGCATCGCCCATTGGATCGTCAGAACTGAATGTATCTTTGTCATACACTTCCTGGAATTATAGTTTAAGAAGATAGATAACTAGAGGGAAAACAGGAATTTTTTTTGAAGTTTTTATGGAAGATTCGCATACATACAACTCAATTCTTATGCATTTAGATGTCTAACACCTTACTCCTGCATGAAAAATGTGTATTTCATATTTTAAAAACGAAAAAAATGTGATTTGATTGATGATGAACAAGAATTCATGGTTTAACTCTTCAACTAAATAATGACTAGAAAAAATATTTGAAAAAGTATTCTAAAATCATTAAATTTTAGTCAAATGTAGGTGCAGTTTGTCCCCAATATTTCGGAAATGACAATAAATAAATAAGTGTTATCCAAATGTAAGTACAGTGTGTCCCTGAGAATCAGACAATTACAAAAATTATTACGCTTTCAAATTTGCTGATAGTATGATCATTTTTCATTAAAAAAACATTCATTATGCGATCATATATGTGATAAATCAATAGATAATATAGTCAGTAAACTTATAGAAATTTCATAATAATGTTGCCTAACCGCCAAAGTAGCATCGACAAACGATGGTTTCCATACTTTAATGGCTAAATTACCTTTTAATTTATCACATGCATTTAATGTGATAAATCTATAATCACATATTTGGTATTTTTCATAAGATAATCAAATTGTAACTAAAATTTAAAATAAAATTATTTGCTAATCACCCTATAACTGTTAGCGGTCAAACTTTTAAGAAGAATAAAATTAAGAATATTTACATGCAAACCACTCAATTCTTATGTATTTACATATCCAACACCTAAATTTTACCTTTATTACATTAAACCACACAAATCTTTCATATCAAATCAAAATACCACCATTTTAAGTTTTGAAATTTTAAATACACCTTTTCATGCATAGATAGGGTGCCAACTGACATGCATGCAAAAAAAAAGAAGTTTATGTGCTAGAAATGTAAATACATAGGAATTCAGATACTGAAGCTTACAATAGATACTGCAAAGAACATTTTTCAAGAGTCTACTTGCATTCTCTAAGCTAATTATTCAAATTTCAAACCAGTGCATTAAAGTCGAGCAATAATATGGTGAAAAATCAGACAAAGACATCCTGATAAAAGATTGATCAAATGAATTTTAAAAACTATGAATTTGCGTTGAGATAAGTGCAATAAAAAAATTGACTGATTATCCATACATTGCATTCTATAAACAAACCAAAGCGTTTTGAATTTATAATAGGGGGATTTACATACATACCACACAATTATAGGTGTTAGACATGTTAATACATATGAAAAATGTGGTGTGTGTCTAAATTTCTCTTTATAATATATTAGAAGAACCCAAAGTATGCAATGGATAGCTTCAAAAAAGTCTTAACTGTGCTATTAAGTATTAAGTAAGATGGCAAGCAAAATTAGTTGAGAAATGCTCTCACCAGTTTGACTGGGAAAGAAGGATCTTCAACAGAAAAGGTTAACTCTTCATCCCATTCCGGGTTCACGGTCTTCTTTATAACTCGTGTCTTTAATTTCTGCAAAAAAAAAAAAAAAGGAAGATTTACATACATAGCACTCCATGCCTATGTATTTACATATCTGACACCTAAACTTCAATTTTTACATATATGCTACCTTACCTATGCATGAAAAAGTGAATTTCATTTTTTGAATGTCAAAATAGTGGTATTTTTTATCTGATAAGAATGTAAAAAGTAAAATGATTGCATTACATATACAAATACATAAGAATTAAGTGGTATATATGTAAATGCTCCAAAAAGAAAAAAAAATGGAGGCTGATAAATGGAAGTTAGAAGTACAAATTGATTCACAAAATCAAAGAGTAAAACAGGATAACGAGTATCATATATATATATATATATATATATATCTAATGTGCCTAACAATTCGAGTATCTACTCCTTAAGGCCAGCGGTGCTAGAGGGGATTTGAACTCCCGAACTGAGGGGACTTATACCGTGGATGCCAACATAAGGCCGGAGTACGCAAAAATCTAAATCGCCATTTTTGTCAACACATCTAGTACTCTTAGGGGATTTGTTGACATTTTCATTTAGAATAGCCTTAATATAGAATATTAGAGAAATTAATAAAGGAAACAATATGCATAATCTTAAACCTTCCACAAATTGATGCAAGACTTATCAGGATCTATGGTTTCATATGCAGAGAAATGTTAAATGATGCAATGAAAATGTTCAAAAAACAATTACATAAATCTATTTGGTTTTCCTAAACATTGATGGCATGATACCAAAAATATAGACAAATCAGCAATCAGAGCTTGTTTATGAGTAAGATGTCTAACATAAACAATTATTTACCACTACTGGCGCAAAAATAAATGAAATCAAGATTGCATGGAATGGATGATGGATTCTCAAACAAAAAAAAAAGTTCTAAGAGTTCAGATAATAAAAGTCTAACATATATTAAAAGTTCATATAAATATTTCAAGCCCAAGCTCTGAAAGATTTTCAGAAATCCAATCATAGAATCATACTAAGCAACAGCATTATAAGACAAAAGGAAAAGAAAGAGGAGAATATGCTTGTAAGTGCAGAACAAACAGACCGGTTATCAACCTGTCCTTATGAAATATGCTTTTGAAGTGAAGATCTAAGAGCAATCTCTTATGAAATGGATTCAAAAATTTATATGGTCATCAATAGAAAAGAAATTACTTGCTATACTATCACGGCAACGAAATGCTTCAAATATCGTCTAATAATCATATCATGCTGCATGCGCTTGCCATGCCATTATGAAGAAACATAAAATTACTCTCTATCACACTTCAAATGTCACATAACATTAGTCACAGTTAGCAGGCCAGCTGTCTACTGAATTCATCCTAGAAGTTTCCTTTAGGTGCTTCAAGTACAAAAATCTAAATCGCCATTTTTTGACAGTTATCTTAGAGGCAAGACCTTCCTCCGATATAGTCGCGGCTGAAGTCTACAATACAGGAGCTCAATGTCTTCTACATGAGTGTGTCAAATACCCTCGGAGGAAAAAATTAAAAAAAAAAAAAACTCCAGAGTACGGGAGCTTTGCAAGATCGGAGCAAAGGAAAAAGTAACCGATCAGTGAAAACTAAAAACAGATGCACGCAAGAGGAATGATTCCACTATACAAAGCACACAAGGGGACGATATCAGTAAACGACGAGGAAAAAGAAGAGGAGGGTAAAACACCTGCTTTCCCAATCGGAGAACAACGTAAGGATCGCTGCTTCGAACATCTCGGACGGCGAGGTTCACGCCTCTCACCACGCGGATCCTGAGAAGCCCTAGCATCCGATCTAACATTTTCTCTCTCCTCGGCTACAGATTTTCCTCCGCTCCGATAACGATACAATGACTCGCTTGCAGCATCCTCCTCCCATTTATCTACCAGCAGATTTAAATCTTTAAAACGTGGGAGCCAGTAATTGCCTTGGTCGTGAAGCATCATCGGAAAAATTAATTTAAAAGCAATATCATAGAAAATTTCATTATAAAACAACTTATTTGATGTGGTGACATTTTGAAAACACACATGACTTATTAGGTTCAACTGTATTTTGGCAGCTTATACATTTTCAAAACACAGAAAACAACGTTTTCACACCGCACCTATTTAGGTGCGGTAGGAGCTTATTGACAACGGTCTGACTTTTCCAAAAAAATAAAAATTTGTAATAGACACTGCACCTAGCTTATCAACAGATTATTTTTAATCAGCTTATCAATAAATTATTCAATAAGCTACAACTGTCTCAAATAGACCCTAAGTTCCGTATAATTAATTGATTGTTTGAACTAAATTTTTTCCACAACTCCAGGCCTACACCGACTCATGCATTCAAATAATCAATTAATTTTTTTAGGGGAAAAAATTTTCAATCCGGACTCCCGAAGTAACTCTACGTGTGGATTCTAATAATATATCATCATGCATTAGTTATTGGAGGTTATTGAAGTGAAATGTTATTATAGGGGTTAATGCAAAGGGTTATTGAAGTGGAACCGTGAGGGTTATTGGGGGTATTATTGGAGGGAGTTATGAAGTGGAACTGCGGAGGTTATTGGGAGTTATTTGGGAGATAATGAGGGGTAGTTACGGGAGCACTACATGTTATTAAAATGAAACCACAGAGGTTATTAGAGGTTATTGCAGCGTTATTAGAGTTAATATTCCACTAACTCCTAATAATCCCTCCAAATAATATCTACAGTTCCACTCAAATAACATATGTGATTTCACTTTAATATTTTATTAGATGAGCTCGATATTGACGGTATATTATTGGGAGTCCGCACGCAGAGCTACGTCTGGAGTCCGGACAGAAAATTTTTCCCGACGTCACCGATGAGGCCACTCTCCACGATGAGAATGTGAAAATCTAAAACAAAACATTAAATAGTCAATAAAATCAAAGCAAAATGTATTTTAAAGTGTGGTGCGTTAGGAAAAAAAAGTAAACATTTATGTTTTACATGAAAATTAAGCTCATTTGTAAATAAATAAAGGAAAAGGGGTAACAAACGCAAAATGTTTAGATAAAATTTTCGGATGAATTCTACATTTGAAAGTATATATATTATTAGTTATAAAAAATGCCCTTCTTTCTAATTGAAAAGGACGGTATATGAATTATAAAGTCTACAACATGATAGAAGTTGTAAGAATTTGGAAACGTTGCAGTTGTCTTTAAAAAATTATTTATTGACTATTCAGTTGTTCTCCTTTGACAAAAGAAGGCCAAAAACCAATAAATTTAGTACAAATGTTATGTCGGACATTGAAAATCAAAGTTGATATTGACAACGTCTATCAACTTCATTATTAATATTAAGAGTTGTGTCAATTTTATCAGCGGTATTAGTGAAATTATTGGCGTGAGATTATTTTTTCTCACCGCGAAGATGAATCTTGTCAGTTGTCCGGACCCAAAGCTATGTCCAGACTCCGAACATCATAAATTTTCGTGATAACGACCATCAAGGATATGTGTTAGCCATGAGTAATAATTTTGGTCGACATGCATCAATTTTTATGAGCAATTGTGTGTTAATAACATATATTAGTGTTACAAATTGATGAAGTATAAGAATATTTGTGTAATAAGACATCAGTGGCCAACAAATTGTAGCATGATAGTGCGGTCAAATGATCATAATTGGCAACTTCAATTGGGAAATAGTGGCAAAAAAATAGTTAGGTGGTAATGATTTGAAGACCTTAATTAAGTGACATTTTCTTAAGAGAGTAATTTATGTTGGTTTGTAAATAATTGTTAGATGATGGTGGTTAGTCGAGTGACGACAGTTGAATAATACTAGTATGACGATTATGTTTGGGTAACATTAATTAGTTAATAGTTGTTGAGAGAACATTGTTAGACGATGGTGGTAGGTTAGTTTGGTCACGTAACAATGATTTAGCAACTATAATCTATCTGAAAAAACAAGCATATGGTTAGTGATGGTGGTTTGAATGTTTTGGTTTAGTAATATTGGTTAGATGTTTATATGCAAACAATGGTAGTCTAAAGGTTGAAGTCAGACGATGCTGGTTGGACAACTATGGTCAGATGACAATGGGTGATTTATAATCAGGAGACAAGGTTGGAAAAGTAGTAATTGAGCAACAATGCTCTTGGGGTCATAGTGGGGCAATGATGGCGAGGGTAGTCAAGCAATATGATTGGGAGACTGCAATCGAGCCACCAATGTCAAGTGACCATAATCGGATGACCGTAGTTTAGCCTAGGTGGTTTGTGCTCATAACTGGCCAACAATAATAGAGATTTTGTAGTCAGATGATAGTGGTTAAATGACCATAGCTAATAGGTTGAAATTTGGTAACAGTGCAGAAGCATTAGTCAAACTGTGGCGATCAGACGAAGATGGTCAGGTAGTTCCATATTAATAGTTGGGCATTGGCAATCATATGGTTGCAATTGGACAAGGTCGTTGCCATGGCAGTGGCCGAGCAGAGGTCTGACAATGACAATCCAAGGGTAGTAGTCGTGGTGGCTGCAATGGATAAGTAGGGCTCTACGATTATAAAAGCCTCCGAGCTCTCTCCTACTCTCATTTATTCTCCTTACACGTAAAGAATGATGGTTTATTATAGATTTTTAGATTGATATTTTTGTTATTTTTTTGAAAGTATCAAAGCACTCTACTAAATGATATGGAGTAAACTATATCAAGTCTTTATTACAAAATTTTTTAATGTTTGAATGTCTTAATGTTGTCATAATTAAGAGATATTGGGATAGATTTAGTTTTCTATCCACTTACATGTATATACAAGACAATCTTTAACCGTAATTATAACATTAGTTAGAATTGAACCAATAGAAAAATGATTATGTTTAAAGCTCAAAATAATGCCAAGGTTATGTTGTTTTATGTTAACAGCGGACAAGTAGATAAATATCCTTATTTGTTGATCATGCTAAGCCAACTATGTTTTCTTTGCTAAAAGCTTAAAGGATAGTATCATTTGCCCTTCTAGAGAGAAAAATGTTATCCACGAATGTATGACAATTGCAAGTGAGAGAGCAATAACTCTTCTCAACTGCGTAATCAACAAAAAAAGATATGATATTCTTAATAGTTGTGAACACCGAAGGAGATATGGACCATCCTTATAATAACTAGTAAAACTAAAAATGATTCTATGCATATAGAATTCCTTTGCACCTCATTCAGTAGCACACCATTTTGTGTCCCCCTTGTTTTTGTTCGTTTTTTCACTATTTTATTTTAAAAGGAGTTGTCAGCCTATAGATATTCATATACTTCCATTTCTCGAATAAGCCTATCTTTCGGGTCATATGAACGACCCGAAGAAGAGAGGAACCAAAAAAGACGAACATACGACAAAACGACAAATGAGAGAAAACACAAAACGTGGAGAGTCTGCGTGCAGTAACATTCGCAAGGAAAGGTTAAGTGTGTTTGCCCAAACAAAATCAGGTGAAAGTACCTTAAACCAATATCCACCAAAAAATACGTATGCAGACTACCCATAACCAGAGATTCAGGTGTAGGTGTTTGTTCTTGGGCCATGAGTGCTCATAAGGGGATGTATTCCACTTAGTTAATTACATCTTGGGCGTTGCTCAGGAAAACTCTTGATCCAAAGGGGTTTTGCTTACCTGAGATGTGACAACTAACACAGAGTCATCAAGGGAGGTTATCTCGCAGAGGGAATGCCCCGATGCTTCTGATCTCTCGCTAAACCACAAGGCGAAGAATGAGTCTCTCGCGGTCCCCACGTGGATAACGAACTTATCAACATACGAAACCTGCGAAACAACTGTATCACCCCGATGAAGAATCCCGATACGTCAAAGCACGTTCGGGCTACAAGGGCAATAGATAAATCGTCGTATCCCAAACGAGCTACAACTCATCAGCAATCGGGTCGTTGAGATGATGTCAATGAAGACAAAAGAAAAGACAGGGCTCTACAAGGATAGTCAAAGGAGGGGAAGAGTAATCCCTAGCAAGTAGAGGTAGCTGGGTTGGGGTACCACAGGCCCATTGTCCCAAGCCACTAAGACCACAAGTCTACCTGGTCGTGAAAGTAGTCGACTCAACACGTCCTGAGATCCCTGGTCAGCAATCCGTGAATTGCTTCGTCCATGGGGACCCCGATTGCCCTAAGGTCAAACGAATGAGACTCTATCCTATGACTATCGACTGGAGGTCTGAAAAAGTGAGACTTATACATGTCAAAATGTCATGGATGCCTCAGGAAAGGAGTAGGAAAAAGGGGTCTAGCTACAAAACTGCAGACACTTCAAACAAAAGGACTTATGCCCCGTCTAGGTCAGAGAGCCTTCTAACACCCTAGATGCACTAGACAATCACCTACTAACAAGCTATGTTGGATCAGTCGGGTTGGAGAAGCACCGGGGCTTATCATTGGGACATGCAAATATGATGCAGTTATTTACCACAATTCTAAATGTGGAGGCCTTATTAAACATGATTGGGGTGTAGCGATGCATGCAAACCATTTTTTAATTCGGCCCAAAGGCCATGCCAAAAGTAAAGACATATTTAAAAAAAAAAAGTCTTGAATCTTTCAATCCTAAATTTTTATTATCTTGAATATTTTTATTAGGATTTTTAAAGTAAAAGAATTATAATTTTAGGGTCTTTAATGAGCCTAAGTTATATTTTTTGTAAGACCCAAATGCACAAAAATGAACAATATAAAACACTCAAACATGTAAGGCACACGAGGGGAAAAAGAAAAAGCGCACGCCAAAATAATATATAAAAAGACCAAATGCCGCTGGACTGGCAACATAATCCAGGAAAAGCAGAAAAAACGACCGGACTCCACATATACATGTCCGATCCTAAGTCTATACAAAAATGTAAAAATTCTGACTTAAGGTATA